TATTATTTATATATATTTATATATCCATTGGACTAAGTGCCATATCTAGAAACATCCAGATATCTGAGAGTCTAACAGTCCAGATAAAACATCCAATTTTCATAAAAGTGCTTTCAGAAATCCAGTCAGGTAACTAAATGCTTCAGAAACCTGCCTTAATCCAAATGCAAGGGTATTGCAACAGTTTAACACCACACTGCTACCACTTTCTCCTGTATTCTTATCAGACACATATTTACACAGATCTTTCAGAAACTTCAAAATTAGTACAAATATTTCTTCTTAATAACAAATCGGTGAGACAAAATAATTTCCTTACTTTTGGGAGGGAAGCTCTCGATCCTGAACTTTGCGTGGTCATTGTCAAAACTGTAGTGATACCCAGTGCGACTCTAGCTGGTGCAGCATCCATGTTGATCCAGAAAGAAACCCAGGACAAAATGACAATCAGCAGGCTAGGAATGTACATCTGGATTAAATAGTATCCCATCTGACGCTCCAAATGAAACTTGACTTCAATGCATGTAAACTTTCCTAGAACACGAAATTACTTTCATAAATGTTTTTTGCACATTTTTATCTTGTTTTCTGAACATAAGTTAGATGCGTGCCCTGTTTCCTAACCTAACACTGTAAGCAGGTCCTGATACACAAATGTGAGTCAGCTCTCTGTTGCATGCTAGCCTGGGAGACACATGGGACCCCTGACTCACATTAGCCGAGAAAACAAACATTAGCATGGTTGTTTCACCTCCGAAAAATATAATGTAATGTTTCTTTTCTCAAATTTTAATAAGATTTTACTTTAGTCAAATATAATGCTTAGTATTAAAAGGGGGCAGCATTTTGCTCTTTTAATTACATGAGATTAAGCAAAAGTACTGAAACAGACATAATGTAAACAATTCGTCTTACAGTCCTATGGTAGATCACACCCCTCCTCATTCTGGTCATGTTATTTGCCTTTGTCTGTGGATTGTTTCTCACAGCAGAATCAACTCAAAGCCTGCTTTGAATTTTGCCAAAAGCCTGACTCCAGGAAACCCACAGGCACATCTTGTTGGAGGTGAGTGATTCTTCAAACAATAAATAGCTGCTCCACAGGAGTAGTGGGGGACCGAAGTTTAGCATCGCCTGACAGGGGAGCTAATCAGGCAGTGGCGGGGGCAGGGGCTTGAGTTGCAACCGTTCGTCAGCTACTAATCCAATCACTCTGTGCTGCTCTCCAAATTACTCCGTATCCTGACTGTGGTTTAGGTACTGTGAAGGCTCTCACTCAAGGCAACTAATCCAAGTACAAAAATGTCTGTCCTTCCTCAGATCTCATGCTAATGGTTTCACAGGATCCCTTTTGTCTTGTTTGGTCAAGTGCATGAGATGCGTTGATTCTTGTTCATCGTTTTAGGTGAAATTAGATTTATAATATAAAGTTTTATAATCATATAAAATATGCATGCATATTTTTTTTTGTTAGTCTCGGAAGCTGAATGGCAGGGTGCAACAGTTGGCACAAAGGACAATGCAGAGGCTGTCTGGCAAAGAGAAGAGGGGAGAAGAACTGAATATCTTTTGGCAGGACAGAAGCTCATATATGAGTGGCCTGACCTGTGACCCTGAAGACAGACTCTGAGACCTGGATAGCAACTGATCCTGACCAATCTGCCTGTACAGAGGGGACTTGGAAGGTGTGGGGTGGCCACATGTGGCAGCAATGGCATTAGGGTAGCCCAATCTGTCACATGCTCTCCAGATTCCTGTGGTGCAACCTGGACAGAGCACCTTGCAGTGTGGGTAGGAGGAGAAGGCTGAATAATACAGCTTTTATCCACATTTGACTTGCACATTCAAAGCAATTGAATACTGCTTTTCAGTTCCCCTGGCCAGGCCACACACTTTTAACTTTTGGTAATTAGGCATCAGTTTTGTTTAACCACATGTAATGGGAACTACTAACTGGCATTTTTTTCCTTTGTGGGGAATCTTCGTGGGTATACAAGGAAGCTATTGCTCATGCTCCGCACCGCCCCCCCCCCTTACTTTCAGTGTTTAACCCTGCAAAATGGTTATCTGACAGTAATTAGAAAAGCAGATGAATGCACATTCAGAGTTTGAGTTATGTGCTGGGAAATGGCTAAACTTTGTATCAGCCAAATTACAAATGGGTAAGCTCTGTCTATTGGAATTTACTCTCGATTATCCCCTTTAATTGTGAGAAAAGTTGAGGAGTCACAGCACTTTCCCTTTCCATGGGTCTTGGACTGTAGAATCACAAAGTCCTCCTTCCTTGGCACTTTGGGCCCCAAAAGGTGAAGATGTATTTGTAAAAATTAAAAACAATAATTTTCTTTTCCTAAGAAATGAATGTGGCATTTTTGGCAGAGGCAGAACCTCTCATGTTGTGTTATTTCACGGAGTGAAACAAATGTATTTGATGCAACCAGATTGGCTCTTACGCTGAAATGATGAAAAAGCTATTTTAGATGAGAGGGATTATATCTAATCCCAGCAAGCACCCAGAAAACCATTCTCTAAATGCTGTCCCTATTAAATAAACTCCAAGCACTTAAATCCAAATTTTAACAGAGTTCTTTCTGCTCTGCAAAGCTAAAGATAGAAAACACAGCATTTGAAACTTCAAAATAGCAAATATAGGAAGAAGATTACAGTATTAAGCAAACATTTAATTTCGCAACACTTCATGTCTGTACACTATTCAGAACAGCAATGAAAGCATTGTCTTTTCAAACACTACATTTCATAGATCAGACCACACATAAAAGCTGGTGAAAATTTGATATTTTTCCTCATTGCCACTTTGATACTCTGGAGAAATAAATCAAAATCAGAAAAGTCAGTATTTTAAAAGTACTGAATCAATATTTAAGAAATTATTCAGTGTGTTAAAAAAGTTTCATTTTAAGGAAATCAAAACAACTAGATTCTTTCACCAGTTTTTTAAGATTTTAAATTCCTTAATGATTTTAAGGATATTAGAATATGTATATTAGAATATCTTTAATGAAATGAAAGGAAATTTGGAAACAAAATCTTTCAAACAAACAAAAATAAAAGGGAGAAAATTTCTTTTTTTTTATTTAAAAAATACATGTGGCAGAAATAAATTTTATTTTCCAATTTTTTTTTTATTTTACCCATCCTTTCCCTTTACAAATTGACAATACATACCATTAGAGCATTTAATAGAAAAAAATAGAATAATGCTCACCAGTGTTGTAATGTTTTGTGCAATAACCAAGTTCTTTATCTTCTTTCAAAATAAACTGTGGCAAGGTTAAACCCTCTGCAACTTGCACAGGTCCATCACTTAGCCACTCAAATATCAGATCATTCATAGTGTAGCCAACTACAATAAAGAAATCAGAGTTCGTTAGATGGTAACTGACTGTAAAACATCAAAAGCAAATATTATGTCTGAGAAGCATGTCTTTTATTGCAATACATGTTATCTCAGTTGTATTTTTAAACTGATTAACAGCAGCACTATTGCTGTTAGTTGCCAGTTGCTATTATTGCACTATTACTCTATTAAGAGCAACAAGTAACACCATTATGTTCTGAAATTCTGCCACGGTTTGCCACTAAAAAATAATTTTGCTGGCCCATCAAAGATACTGTTTACAACTGAAATGACATTTCCCTGTGCCTATGTATCAGCTTGCATTTTGCTTTATTTTCATCATTCTTTGATGATGTAGTTGGTGGGCACCAACAAAACAAGGATTTCTAGACTGCAGAATGCTGGGCCTTTACCAAAAACTGCAGCTTTTTGTAAACCTGTGAACCTGCCACTGAGAGGTGCGGAGGGGAAAGAGAGTGGCTTCAACTCACTGAATTCTCTTTTTGATGGCAATGGCTACATATTTATGGGTAAATGAAACAAGCTATGTGCTGACACACTTAAACAAGGTGTGTGCTGACAGCTGCACAGTATGGACGAGTGTGGGCCGGTACCCAAGCCCATGCCTTGGCCACATTTAGCTTATTAGCATAAGCATACCTGCAGGACCTCTGCTTCATCAGGTATGTTGCTTCCATTTTTCGGAAGACCATAGCACGTCTTGATCAGACATAGCTAATCCTTGGCTGTGTACTAATTGCTTTTACTTTGACGAGATTAAATTTCTCCTGCACAGCATCGCTGTGGTTATCCCTGGAAGTGGTGCAGCTCGGATGGGTGAGGTGATGTGCCCCAGGAAGGGGGAAAGGGAAGGGAGCAGGAACAGCATAGACACAGGGGACCCACACGGTACGGTGACCGACAGTTAAAACACTGTTCCTCCGTGATTTTCCCTTACACAATAGGAATATTGAGTCTCACCACAAAAATACGACAATGTAGATACTATCTAACCACCGAATGTTACGGTAAAATCTTGTTCTTCGCTACATAAAGCAACTGGACACTCACAGCTCTCTAGCTGCATTGTACATGTCTGTACATCCATAGGAAAATTCTTCAAGTCCATGGGACAGGATAAGGTTAAAGTAAGCCTAAAATTGGAGGGGGAAAAAAAAAAGAAGCTATTGTTAGAAATCTACAGGGTTTATCCAAAGCCCCATATTTAGAATTTAAAGGATCAAGACCAAATCTTAACACCTCAGAGGCTGGACTCACTCTCCCCTCTGAGCTTTTACGGACATAAGCTGTGAAGACAGAGCAGGTAAGCAAACCAGCCACTCGCTGGCTGTGTTGGCCGAGCAGAACAGGGACAGAGAAAACAACATCAAGATAGCAAGAAATGCTCTCCACTAATGTACCAGTGAATGTCTTATGTATAATACTGAACGCAAATAATGCAAAATCTGAAATGACTGATCGTGGGACACACATTTTTAAGCTTTGTTTTGGAAAAGCAAAGGAAGGAAACAACCACCACGGGTTTTTTTTCAACAGAGTGCTTTTCTTGTGCATGAAGCCCATTTTCAACCCTTCATTCTTACTGCTTAGCCATTAAAAGAGAGAAAAAAACGCCATACAGTAAAAGCTAGAATCACATAGCATTAAAAGATAAAGAGTGCAGACATAAGAAAGTAAGCCTAAAGGAACATTATCATACAAACAAAATTTCTCTTTTAAGTTGTTATTGTCCCAGATATAGCATCATTTTGCTTGGATGGGAATATTCTTAATGTTTCTTTCTTTCTTCTTTTTTTTAGTTCAGTTTACTTTTTCATATTTGATTAAAATCTGTTTCAAGACTTCTCTGCTTTATTTCTTTTCTCGTTTGTGTGGGGAGAAAAAAATATTTTTAACAAACCAAGATACTGGGATGACATAATTACAAACAACTAGCTGCTTTGAAAAACAGTATAATTGTTAAGACTTTGGGTTAAAAGTCATATAAAAAGAGTATATTTTTATTTCAGATTACCTTCAGCACAAAAAACACTGACACAAAGAAAGCAAATAAACAAAAACCTCTGCATCCATTTACCATCAAGGACAAGAACTAGATTGTCTGATTTGAAGATACACTGAAACATTAACATAGTACAATGAGAATAACTTTTAATTATGCCAGGGAACCCATGGGCCAGCTGCTAACCTTGAAAGTATGTTGTCCCACAGACAAATGTGATCTGTGTGGAGAAATAATTCACTAAGCTCTGTCTCCTGTGGTGATTTTGTGCTTCTCACTGCATACAGCTGATTCAAGCTCTTTCGGTCTATTTCTTCATCATGTGAATTTTTTGGGATGGCCTGACTGGGCCTTCTGGTCCTACCGTCTTGCCATCAAACCACTATGACAAGAAGATGATATTTAGGTAACTGAGATCAAAATGCTGAGCCTAATCAAAAACCACATTCAGCATCTCTGCTTTTGCCTACTCATGGGCTACTTAGAGAAAGTCACATTATTTTCCTCTTGACACACTCTTCAGTGTGCAAGATGATAATATCAGGAAATTAGAGATCGCTTGTCTGTGGCAATAAAGTGCACTGAGATGAAGAAAAGCCCCCAGCAGTCCTCTTAACACCACCATAGTAAATAAACTCCCATTTAACCTTTGGGAGCAAATAGCATAAGCATTAAAAAAAAAAAAAAAAATTAGTCAGTTAGAGAAAAAAGTATATCTAGTAGACATATAAATGTCATTGAAAACCTGCCCTTTACTCATATAAATATTTTAAGTGCAATGCAAATTTTAAGCAGTCTTATTTTTACTAGGTGGATTCCTGGATTAAAGATTGAGCTATTTAAATTGCTAATCTCCAGCATTATCAAAAGACTGTTTCTGCCTTTTTTTCTGACATGGTGATATATCAAACTCTCTTCCTTCCTTTCAGTCATCTTCTAAATATGGCTTAGATGTTTTAAGTTCATTTCAAACATGCCTTTACACAAATGCAGCCTTTCTAAATATGTCATTTGTTTGTATTCAATGAAGTAGGTATCCTTCACCTATCTCATCTGAGGCACCCCTCAGATTTTACTATGTGGATGGCATGCTGACTATGCTTCCTTCCCCCTTCATCCTTTTCTACTCCCCAAAACCCTCAAAGGATCAGGGGGTTTGACTACATACATGGGGGGGCGGGGGTGTCTCTATTATTAGTCTAATATACTACTCATGAGAAAGCGAATACATCCAGTTGCAGCTTTCAAGCCTCCCAGGGATAAATTGATCTATCTTCACTGATGTTAGGTAGATATATAATTTTTTTCTTTTTTTTTTCTGGAGGTGAGCTGAGAAAATGCTCATTATGTTGGTTCACACAAAGGCTGACACCTCTTCAAAGAACAAAGAGTAATGGTTTTAAACTAAAGAACAGATTTAGACTAGACATAAGGAAGAAATTTTTTACAATGAGGGTGGTGAAGCACTGGAACAGGTTGCCCAGAGAGGTGGTAGAGGCCCCATCCCTGGCAACATTCAAGGTCAGATTGGACGGGGCTCTGAGCAACCTGATTTAGTTAAAGCTGTCCCTGCTCACTGCAGGGGGGTTGGGCTAGATGACCTCTAAAGGTCCCTTCCAACCCAAAGTATTCTATGATTCTATGATTCTATGATTCTTTCTCTTCCTAACCAATGTGTCTTTCATGAAGACTAAATTATTCTCTGCTCACCCTGACAAATGGAAAATAATTTCTATTCACTGTATTGATGAGGCTAGCTTGAGAGATCATGCCCTTATAGCTTTACCTCTACTTGTTCATCTCAGCAGAGTAGCCATTCATAGTTAACATCTTTGCCTCTGTAATCTAGGAGTACTAGGAGTAATGCAAGTGTTGAACCCAATGCTTATTACCTGGTATCATCCACAGATCGACTGATTTTCAACAAGATTACTACATGCTAAATGTTCAGCGGCTGGAGTTTGAAGTAGCTCCAGTGAAGTCCATGGCAGTGGGTCAATTTGTAGCAGTTGACTCTTTTTTCAGTAAAAATATGATCTTGCAAGTGTTTCCAAACCCAGGTGCAATGTCACTACTTGTATATTTACATTAATAAGGAAACAGGATCAGAAATGGAAAGTGTTAGGCAGATATACCTACCCACATTGCCTATAATAAGAGTGTCATTGACAGAAAATGTTTCAGAAAAATGAATGTTTCACACTTGGCAAATTCAAGAAGGGCCCCTGGGGATTTGGTGCAAAGTGCAAGTTTAACTGGCAGCTACATTGATGAATACTTTAATCATTAATAAAAGAGGAGAAACTGCTATAGAACAATTATTTTATTTTTCAGGCACCCCGTCACCAAGGCATCTGAGATGCATAAACAGCAGATTTGGTGACGCAGCACCATAAAACACTGATAGGAAGAGTTTTATGAACAATCCATATAAAGCTGAAAGAAGCAGATGACCAAGGACATGATTTTGTCTTCAGTTACCTGAGCACCCTTTAGCCCCTGTTATCCAGGCTCAGGTTGCACAGCTTGCTCAGGGAGAGCTCTGGGATTGGGCACATTATATTTTAGGATATATTATAGGAGAGGGTCACATCTCCAGCGCCCCAGCACTTCAGGCACAACATCAGGGCCAGCAAGCTGCCCCAGAGGAGAGGCAAAATTGTTCTCTTCTTTCCCTCCCTGCTCCCTCACCCATCCCACAGTCAAGGAAATATCAAGCCCTGGAATAGTGCAACTAGAGTAAGAACAGAATAACATGCAGAATGAGAGCCAGAAAACAAAGAATGAGCAATTAGCCGGCACTGTGACAAAAATAATAATAATAAAAAAATCAGTAATATTACTGAACAACACTGTGACAGAGGCAGGGCTGTAATCCAAGTACTTCAGGGCAGCATTGCCTGTCTTAAACTTTGGACCCTCTTCCCTCATACACTAGGTAAGTCCTTTTAAGCAGCATCTCCTGATACTTTAAATGCCTTCAAAGTAAGTGCAATGGGCACTGCTAAAATTTCATTCAAACTCTTTCATCCCCAGGTTTCACCAGAACGTCCTGAGAAATCATTCAGGCGTGGGCTGTGGGTCTGTCTCTTTTCCCACCCCAGCTCAACATCTTTCATTTCTGGCCACCCCAGAAACCCCCTTACAGCATCATTCAGGGGTCTGTATTTCCTACTTCTGCAGGCAGGAAGGCAAAAGTCCTGTAGACTGTGGCCTCCTTCATTACAGAACCAGAATAAGGCATCCCGTGGGAAAAAATAACCTGACAACGTTATTAATCAGAAACCCTCATCCTGGTGACCTTTAACACCTGAACACGTAGTTTTGCAACACCAGTGTTTTCTCCAGATGGAAGCAGACATGCCCTCAGACGGGCCAGCAGCAGAGCTAAGCACAGGAACTACCGCTGCCCTAAATGCAGCAGCTGTGGCCAGCCATCATCCTCCAAGGAAAAGCCAGCAGAGGCAGGCGACGGACACGTGCAGCCGAGGGAGCTCAGCGGTATTTACATGCAGTGCAATCAAGTCCTGAGCTCAGCAATGAGGCTGAGACACCATGCTTCCTATTCACCCATTCCTGCCCTTGTCCCATCCTTTCTCTGGCCTTAGACATACTTTCCCCACCTCCTATGTCTGCCCATCTACCCTGCATCTCTCCCAGAGACACCTACATGACCCAGAGCCCAGCCTCTTCCTCTGCATCCTAGTCTGTCCTCTTACACGTTCCCCCTCCCCTTCCTGTTGCCCTCTTTTACCCCAGTTCCTGCCAAATCCCACTCCCACCTCTCTTTGGGGTATTAAGCTTTGAGGCCAGTCCACTCATTGACACCTAATCCCCAAAGCGGTACTGAAGCGGAGGGTAAGATCATTTAATACAAAAAAAAATTAATAGGAGAAAAATGTTTGTAAACAGATTATTCTCAAAATCATCTCCAATCTCTTTCTTTCTCTTAAGAGGTTTTGAATGTTGATGCTCATCACCATCATGACACTTCTCTGATAATCTCACGCTACAAAAATGTTTCAGCATACTACACATACAGACTGCTTGTGAATGGTCTGCAGCACAAAACTGAAGTAAAGAACTGCTAGTATTAAACCCTTAGGGAACTGGGTTTACACATTACATAAT